TGCGCTTTTGTGAACGTCGGCGTTGGCGGCCCTAGTCGAATTTAGATCGACGACTTTAGTCGTGATAGACTCTACGGCCTTAGCCACAAAGGCAACTTCGACTGTCGTCGGGTCGTTTACTCGCCGCAGTCAAACCTAGGTCGACCGTTGGCGGCGATGGCCTTAGGCATAATATAGTTGATGGCCTTGCTTTTTCAACTCGGTGCGGGCGAGTCTTAGCCGTTATTTGGCGATAGCGGCGCTTAGCCTTAGTCCCAGTTCGGACGCGGTCGAACTACCGGTCGTGATAGTAAAAAACGCGGCCTCGTAGTTCGACCGGGGCCGAACTTTACGTGGCCCGAATCTTAATTCGAGTTGGGAGAACTTACTTGGATGGCGAGGGTGCCTATCCTGCGCTTCGATTAGTTGGAGGTCGGGCTTTGCTTTCGCAGATGAAGGCGTTTGGCCTGAGTCTCGGTTCAACTGTGGTTGAACTTGCTAAAGTTGAGGACGAAGGCGTCCATCCTTATAGTTCGAGCGAGGTCGAGCTCGTTGGATTTAATGATGAAGGCACATAGCCTGAGTCCCAGTTCGACTGTTGTTGGGCTTCGTTAAATTTGGTGGCGAAGACACGTAGCCTGTCTTGGTTCAACCGTGGTTGAACTTGTTGGTGAAGGCGCATAGCCTGTCTCGGTTCAACCGTAGTTGAATTTTTTGGCGAAGGCACGTAGCCTGAGTCCCGGTTCAACCGTAGTTGAACTCGTTGGTGAAGGCGCATAGCCTGTCTCGGTTCAACCGTAGTTGAACTTTTTGGTGAAGGCGCATAGCCTGTCTTGGTTCAACCGTAGTTGAATTTTTGGCGAAGGCACGTAGCCTGAGTCCCGGTTCAACCGTAGTTGAATTTGTTGTCGAAGGCACATAGCCTGTCTTGGTTCAACCGTAGTTGAACTTTTTGGTGAAGGCGCATAGCCTGTCTTGATTCAACCGTAGTTGAACTTTTTGGTGAAGGCGCATAGCCTGGTCTCGGTTCAACCGTGGTTGAATTTTTGGCGAAGGCACGTAGCCTGTCTTGGTTCAACCGTAGTTGAACTTGTTGGTGAAGGCGCATAGCCTGTCTCGGTTCAACCGTAGTTGAATTTTTGGCGAAGGCACGTAGCCTGAGTCCCGGTTCAACCGTAGTTGAACTCGTTGGCGAAGGCGCATAGCCTGTCGCGGTTCAACCGTGGTTGAATTTGTTGGCGAAGGCACGTAACCTGAGTCCCGGTTCAACCGTAGTTGAATTTGTTGGCGAAGGCACGTAGCCTGAGTCCCGGTTCAACTGCTGTTGAACTTTGTCGATCTTGATGACGAAGGCACAGAGCCTGAATCCATATTGTGGGTATCGAGTGCTGGAACTCGTTTTGGGATTCGAGACCTTGAGCGGCTTACCCATTGTCTTCCCAACCAGGGTATATAGGCTGTCTTGAGGCGAATCTCGGCTCGAGATATCTCCGTGCCGGTTTCCGACCGGAGTTCGTATGCCTTACAGAGACCTCCCCTGAGGAAAGGAGGGGGACCCTTCTTCTTGTTTGCACTATCTGAGATTGGAGAGAGAGTGAGGACTTAGATCTTGATTTGAGATCTTCGAGCTCCCCTTCGAGTTTGGCGCTTCTTTTCTTTTGGTCCAGGGAAGAACTACGCGATTTTGCTATGAAATCCCAACAGACGGCGCCAAATTGTTTGCTCAAAAAATGTTACACATCTTACGAGTACAAAACAATATAAATAAATCCCGGGATAATCATAGCAAATCGTAATAATCCGTTGGACCAGATGAAAGAAACTAAAATAAGAACTCAGAATTAGGGGGAGAAACATTAGAAACCTTTATTGATAATATTTGTTTGGTCTGCCTCTCCATGAAGAGGTTCAGAGCCTTACAATGGTGTTTTCTCTTCCCATAAGAGGGGTATATTTTCTTGTTTCTCTCTCCTCTCACTAGTGGTGAAGAAGCAGCCCTCTTTTCTAGGGCTATTGCTCTTCGTATTTATAGATGTGAGCTTTGTGAGCTGGCAATAAATGGCCGTGACCATGCTGAAGTTCCGTCCCCATGGGGGAATGACTGGGCCGTACCTTGTAGATTAAATCGGACAAGAATCGAGTCCTGTTATGAATAAAGTGGCCATACCAGTTTATTAATTATGTATTAGCTCAGGACGAAATTAACTCCGTTAATTATGGTGGGGTCGGATTTTGACCCATACATTACTACTACTTGGCAGCTCTTTTGGGTGTAATTGCGCAGAAATTTAGAAAGGAGAGCAGCTTTTTGAGAGTGAACGTACATAACAGCAGCGGCAGGCAATGTAGTCTTCCACTTCAACCGTGGAGGGCGGTGCGTCGCTTCCTTCGACGGGGACCGACGCGACAAAGCGCCGTGTTACTTATTTCTACGACCCTTACATCGGGGACTATTACTACGGCCGGGACCATATAATGAAGCCTCATCGTATTCACGTTGCCCACACTCTTGCTTGCCACTATGATCTTCATCGGCGAATGGAGATCACTCAGCCGTTCCCGGCGAGTGCGGAGGATATTCGGCGGTTCCACTCGCCGGAGTACGTCGACTTTCTCTCTTCCGTTTCACCCGAGACTCTTCACTACCAGAAGCATGATGACCACGACCTTAAACGCTTCAACCTCGGAGACAATTGCCCTGTTTTTGGGCTTTTTGGTTTTTGTCAAGCTTCTGCCGGTGGATCCATTGGCGCCGCCGTTAAGCTTAACCGACAAGATGCTGACATAGCCATCAATTGGGCTGGTGGGTTGCAACATGCAAAGAGAAGCGGGGCCTCCGGATTTTGCTATGTTAATGATATTGTTCTTGGAATTCTTGAACTTCTAAAGGTCCACAGGGTAAATACTCTTCTTATGATGCTCTGTTTTTCTTAATACCCATATTTTATTTGCTTATTCACGCGAACAAAAGTAAACTCTTTCAAATTGGAGCATATGTCTATGTGTATGGTGAATTATTTATACGTTCTTGGTTATTCTTTTGGGCGATGTATTTCGTTTTTGGGTGTAGCGGTGTCGGCGTAATGGTATAGCCCCTTTAGTTATGTGTTTGATATGTTGTGGCGGTTACTGCTACTGTAGATGTTTCGCGGATATTCGTGTTGTTGATATTTGGATAGTTTTGGGAAATTTTAACTGTGTTGCTGAAAAATCTTAAATGTAACAAAAAATATAAAAAATAATAATAATCTTCTGAAAAGTCAAGCTGTCTGAATTTCTGTGTAATTGAAAATTGTTGTTTACTTGATCCTGAGTATTTCGAAATTTTATTACTTCTTGTTGTTGATGGTAAATCTCCCGAAAGGAATGTTTTTTATATTGAAGATTCCAGTCGTTGTTAGGCATAAATTCAGCTCATCGAAGAGAGAGTTTGGAATGGATCCGAAGAAAATTGGTGTTATGTAATCTGCCTTCCCTTGGATTGAATGTAAATATGGTTTAAGGTCAAAGTTCTTCAAAATTGAATTTCTTCCTACCTTGAAGCTGTCTAAGAAGTCAAAGTCAATTAAAATTTTGTTGCTAGTATGAAGATCAGCTCTCCACTAAATAATGGCCTTAGCAGCTGAGAACCATTTCCCTTGGAAAACATCAGGCATCAATTATTTCGTAGTATTCTAATATTATCATATCTCTCCTCTATGATACTGTATATGAGAAGACAATCACTTTTTCTTAATTTATATTTATGAATTTTATGTGACACCCCATGTTTATGTTGAATATTGATTGCATATTGGATGCTTGGTATAGGATATTCCTTGTGTTTATGTACTACTTTTCTATTAACCTTTCGGGAAGCAAAAAGAGAAGATTGATTAGAGGTGCGCCTGAGGCACATAGGCATGGCAAGTCGGCCTTTATTCATGGTGGTACATCGCAGGGATATTATATTGTATAACCTAAATTGGCTGTGTAATGTACTGAAGGCTAGACACTATTGTAGACACTAAATCAAGGTAGTTTCCGCTAAGGTGTGAGGCCTTTATTTATTCGTATTGTTGTTGAGGCTGACTTGGGTTGGCTTTGATGAATATAAAGAGAAGAAATTGTAAAGGATATGTCAATAATAAGTCTTGAGGATGTGTCAAAGGATTAAAGATAGTATTAAATTCAGTATAATGTTACATATTGTTTTGTACTGTTGTCTATAAAAGAAGTAATTACTCTATTCTTTGCTCATATTTTGTTGATTACCATTAAAGATAAGAAGTCATTAATTAGCTCAATCTGTAATCGGACGGAGCAAGTAATTTGGAGGCCAAAATACTTATTTGCTATTTTTTTAAGAACTGGAACGTAGCTTATCACTCATTATTTCTGTAATTATGGAGGACTCATAATTTGCATCCCCTGGATGCTTAATGAAAGCTAACTTTATGTGATCTTAATTTTTTTTCTGTAATTATTGAGGAACTTAGCTTATCATTTGTCTATAAGTGTGCTTGTAGGTCATATCTGGAAAGCATCATTTGCTATAATGGTCTCCTTTGCCAAAACCGTTGCTTATTATGAATTAGTGTTCCTTTAACATGCTCAGTGTTGTTGTGCAGTGTGTATTATATGTTGATATTGATGTTCACCATGGAGATGGAGTTGAGGATGCTTTTTACACCACAGATCGGGTCATGACAGTGTCGTTTCATAAGTTTGGGGACTTCTTTCCTGGTACAGGACATATCAAAGACATTGGTGGAGGTGCTGGGAAGTACTATGCCTTAAACGCCCCTTTGAATGATGGGATTGATGATGAAAGTTTCCGTCACCTATTCCGTCCTATAATCCAAAAAGTAATGGAGGTCTATCAATCAGATGTTGTTGTTCTTCAGTCTGGTGCTGATTCACTAGCCGGAGACAGGTTGGGCCGTTTCAACTTGTCTGTCAAAGGCCATGCAGATTGCCTTCGATTCCTCAGGTCTTTCAATGTCCCTCTGATGGTATTGGGCGGTGGAGGTTATTCAATTCGAAATGTTGCCCGGTGCTGGGCCTATGAGGTCTGTCTCTATCTCTGTACTTTAGTGTTTTTTTCCCCGTCTTTGGATTATCACCTATTACTGTTTACTTGTCTTGGAAGTTGCGCTATGGTTGAACTACTTCAATATCTGCAGACAGCAGTTGCAGTTGGAGTAGAACTTGAGAATAAATTGCCTTACAATGAGTTTTACGAGTACTTTGGACCTGATTATACTCTTCATTCTGTTGAACCATTGCCTATCCAGAATCAGAATTCACCTCGGGATCTGGAGAAGATTAGGTAATTTAAACATCATTCATGTAGGGCTTTGCCTTCAATAGACGGTCGAAAAGACGAAAGTACTATCTAATGTATGTTTGAAGCTGTATAGGGTAAATGCTATTTTCCTTGTTTAATCTTTGTGAAGCATCAACCGGTGTGAAAAATATCTTGAAAAAATCGTTGTGAATCAGCAGCCAATGTTGGGACTAATGTCATGTTTGGTACAATTTATATAAGGTGTTATGTTTGTCAAGAGTCATTTTAGTTTTTTTTTTCCATTTGTTTAGAGATTGGTATGCCTGTGTAAGAATAAGTGTAGAAATCAATGTGGGATTTAGAGAATCCCATTTTTGTCTTATAAGATAAATTATCAAGGTTAGAAGGTCATCACTGCCTTCAACTGCTTCAGCACTACGAGAGTGCACAACTGTAGCAGTTTTTTTAGACCTCTTCACACGTTTGTAGGAACCCATAGCTCTTCCCTCGTGATGTCCCTTTCAAGTTTACCAACCAACTCACCGCTTAGCCGTCAAAATCAAAAGAAATCGAAGAAGAAAACCCTAAGTAAACCAGGGAGAGAACCGAAGAGTATCCGGAAGTCTGAAAATCTCTGTATATATAATATAGGGTCAGCTATAGTAATAAGCTAGCTGATAGGTTATTGTTCGCAAGGTCTAAGGCTTTCAGGCAAGAACATTCCTTTATCTTATAATTTATCCCATTTTTGTCTTATAAGAAATCAATGAGTTGTAATTGTTGTTGTTATTTAAAATGTTAAATGGTTAAAAACCTGCATACCACTTTTCCATCAAATTGGTTGCTTCGTGGTAGAAGTAGATATAGTAATAATAGGCTTAAACGTTTACAACTATGTGGAACTAGTACTTTCAAGTAAGCATTTGCATCCCTCACCTATCACACAATTTAATTCGGGTCGAAAATATAGCTAGATTCTGTTTAATATTTTGTTCATGATGTTCAACTTTTGCTTTTTCGTTGCCTGGTTTAAATTAGTGTGCTGAGGGTTCCTTTTTCTTTTACCAATATTAAATTTCCTCGTCTCATGGCAATTTTCTTGTTTATATCTTTTTCCTTGGCTAGATATTAAGATGTTACATTTGACATGAATAGTTGGTGGGTGCAGGAATATGTTGCTGGAGCAACTCTCACAATTACCTCATGTGCCTAGTGTTCCATTTCAAATGACACCTTTCACAACAGAAGTTCCAGAAGAGGTCAGCTCTAGTTCATCTTCAACATCATTTGATTTTCTATAAATGTTACCCGACCTGATCCCCGTTTAACTACTTCTGTATGCAGAGAGAGGAAGATTTGGATCAAAGGCCAAAACCACGGATATGGCAGAGACAAGACTTTTGATACTGATGAAGATGAGATCAAATTCCTTGCTCTCCAACTTGTATGAAAATTTCTTTTACGCTTTTTATTTGTGTGCATCCTTTTACGCCTAACTTACAAAATAGTGGAATAGTTATCCCCGGAAAATGACACACGACATGCGCTTGAGGGAATAAAACTAAGTGCTTGAACAGTAAACATTTAAAAAAAAACTTATATTTGAATGACAGGCGCGACTAGTCCATCCTCCCCCCCCCCCCCCCCCCCTTTTTTTTTTTTTCCTCTTCATTTTCCTTCCTATTTTTCTTTTTGTTTCTTTGTTTCCCTTCTCAGTGCTAAAAACGTTTTTCCAACCCCAATAATATTCCGATACTGTTCTGTTTTTGTAGTTTTATGTTTTGGCAAATTACTAAATTCTCTTTGACTGAATTGAATTGCTGTGGCTTGTGATGCAGGTAAAGTTGCGTGAATCATCAAGTCAAAGATGAACATGGTTGATGCACGCCTTAGTCCAAAGCTCTCTTCAACATGTTGCCTATCAGCAGATACTGAAACGTTAAACTTTCCTCGCACTTTTATTAACAAGTACATGCACCGCTATATCCTGGTCTTGGTCCATTCGGGTTACGCAGTTTAGTTAGCATTGTAGAATTGAGTGATTGACTCATCTGCTCATACTAAAGAGATTGTATTAGGGGGAGGCTTGAATATACTAATAGAACTTTGTGTATTTGGTGAATAGAAATTTGCGCATAACATCTCAGCATGCTACTTTCTTTTTCTCTGAGCCGAGGGTCTATCGGAAACAGCCTCTCTGACCTATCGGGTAGGGGTAAGGTCTGCGTATACATTACCCTCCCCAGACCCCACCTGGTGGGATTTTACTGGGTAGTTGTTGTTGTTGTTTATCTTAGCATGCTACAAGTTACACCAATTATATTCCTTTTCGCTCATCTTATAGACTGGGCGAAGCCTGAAATACATTCTGGGGAGTTTCTTTACTGGTGTTTTGTTTGAAAAAAGCAAATTTGAGATTTTTGGAAAATCTAGTTTATGGAAATAGTGTGATTCAATTCTTTTTTGAAAAAGATGTCCAAAAATTACTTTGCTTTTCGATTTATGCATATGTGTATCTTTGAAGCAGTGTCTTCAGTTTCACTTAGAAAAATTAGCATCATATTGTTTAATGCCATGTTAATGGATCTACAGGCACAAACTTTCTCTGCTAATTTTAGTAGTTTTCCTATACTAATCAAAGCATGGTCAACATTTTTGCAGGGAAGAAGTGTCTTACTAAGTGGGTGTTTGGATTGACTTATGAAAAGTAGCTTTTAAGCTAAAAGCTAAAAGCCATAAGTTGGTAATACCCAACTTTTAGCTTTTGGCTTATTTTTGTACTTTTTATGCCTAAAAGTAAGTGCTTTTAAGCACTTTTTATTATTGCCAAACACCACACAAACTAAAAAAGTGCTTAAAAGCCAATAAGCACTTAAAATAAGCCAATCCAAACACCCTCTAATTCTATTTCTGATAATTTACTACTCCCTCCGGTCTACAATAAGTGACCAATTTGCTTTTTTATTTTGGTCCAAAATAAGTATCCATTTATATAATCAAGAAAAAGTTCAATTTGTTTTTCCAAAATTACCCTTATGTACGTATCCCTAAAAAGTGATTTACTCCTCACATTTGAGAAGAGAAGTAAGTGCTACTATAACTATGAGTCACACTAACTATTTTTGTCTAGAATTTAGTATTTTTTAATGGGTTTGCCCAAGGTAAATTCGTCACTTATTGTGGACCGAAGGGTGTAGTTATAGAACAAATCGTTGACAGTACAATGATGGGTCAATGTGACAATTCGAATATTATTCAAGGTTCTTGATATAATGAAACACTATTAATTCATCATTTTTCTGAAAAATGGTATACATTCATTATAACATAGTGAAATCCGTTTATATTTAAAGGAAAAAAAAAATCAATGGGGAACTCCAAAATTGTACTTAAATTTCGTGATTCTTTCAAAACGGTCCCTACTCCCCAGTACATGTTACAACGTACTAACGATGATTCTCTAAGTTCAGTTTTTTTAACCATATAGTATTTGGAATATATGGATAATGCCCATTTAGTCAACCCAACGAAATTAGTATAAGCATAATGCATGTGTCTCGTTTTAAAATTGACTACTCATATGTTAATTTAATTCCCTATTTCTGTTGACATAAGTGAAAGATTGGAAATTCTTTTTACAAGATCTCAAGAAAACTTCCAGAAACAAGCATTTGTGTTTGAGCTATAATTGAATGATCAAGTGGAAATTTTGGAGTCTCCTTCTGCTACTAACATTTTAATGGAAATACATGTACTACTTGTTTTCGGATCTTAATAGAGCAACCGTTTTGTTTACGTGATTTTAAAATATCGTTAAACGAAATAAACGAAAAATTATCGGCCTCTCTGTTTTAATCTGCTTCATGGAATGTTGTTCGTAATCAGCTGATGTTCATCCCTTTCCATTCCCTTCTTTCTCAACTCTCAAAGCTGAAGCTTACCATCTCAAGAACCAAAGAGCTTCACGCTTTTATAATGAGGACTCATCTCTCACACGACCCATTTTACGCTACAAGAATTCTGAGGTTCTATGCTCTAAACGACGACATCATCTCAGCTCGCAACCTGTTTGATAAAACTCCCCATCGAAGTATTTACCTCTGGAATTCCTTAATTCGAGCTTATGCTAGAGCCCACAAGTTTACAGATGCATTTTCTCTGTTTAAGGACATGCTTTATTCCGAAATAAAGCCTGATAACTTCACTTTTGCATGCCTTGTTCGAGCCAGCTCTGAGAATTTTGATGTGCCCAGCTTGAGGGTTTTACATGGAGCGGTTGTTCTATCTGGGTTGCAGTGGGACTTCATATGTAGTAGCCAACTGGTAACTGCTTATTCAAGATTAGGCTGTATAGCTGATGCAAGCAAGGTGTTTTCTGGGATAACTGATCCTGATTTGGTCTTATGGAATTCAATGATGTCAGGTTATGGTTGTCTTGGAGAGTTGGAGAAGGGGCTAGAATTGTTTAGCAGAATGCAGAAAATGGGGGTCAGGCCTGATGAGTACACAATGGTTGGCCTGATTATAGCTATATATGATCCTAGTGTGCTGAAAATAGGAGAATCAATCCATGCATTTTGTCTAAAACTTGGTGTAGAGTCAAATTCTCATGTAAGCAGTCTCCTTGTTAGTATGTATTCTAGATGTAAATATACGGGTTTAGCTTTTAGAGTTTTTGAGAGTCTTGTAGAACCTGATTTAGTTACATGGTCTGCAATAATAAGCGGTGTTTTGCTGTGTGGGAATAGTGTCAAGGCCTTGGATTTCTTCAGAGAAATGAATATGAAAGGCGGGAAGGCGGATCCACCGCTGATAGCCACTATACTAACTGCTTGTTCTCAATTGACAATTGTGCGGCCAGGCAGCGAGGTGCATGGTTATTCTTTTCGACATGGATGTCACTTGGAGGTTATGGTCTCCTCTGCTCTAGTTGACATGTACTCAAAATGTGGATTCTTGGAATTGGGATATCAAGTTTATAAGACTATGACTTTCAAGAATATTGTTTCAATCAATTCAATTATTTCAAGTCTTGGTTTATATGGACTTGCATCTCAGGCCTTTCAGATATTTGAGAAGGCACTGGATGAAGGGCACAAACCAGATGAAGCTACTTTTTCCGCGCTCTTATGTGCATGTTGCCATGCTGGTCTTCTTAATGATGGTCGAGTATATTTCAGAAGAATGAAAGATCAATTTGGCATCCCAGCTAACACCGAACATTATGTTTACATGGTAAAGCTTCTTGGAATGGAAGGACAATTGAGAGAAGCTTATGAACTTGTCCAGTCTCTGCAGGAACCAGTTGACTCTGGCATTTGGGGGGCACTATTGTCATGCTGTGATGCTCATAGAAATTATGAGTTGGCAGATATTATAGCTTCTCGTTTTGGTAATAAGCTACAGAATAGTCGTTACAAAGTTATGCTTTCAAATATGTATGCCAGTGATGGGAGGTGGGATTTGGTAAATAAGTTGAGAGTGGATTTAGGATCCACAGGGTTGAAACTGGCTGGAAAAAGCTGGATTTCTAGTATAAAACCATTTCCGTGAAAGGAATTCTTAAGGTGTCTTTGCTACATATTTCATGGTTCACTTTGTTGAATCTGGGATCAGAAGCTGCGACTGAGGTAGGATCAATCTAACTTTCTCGTCATGAAAGGAAATTCTATCGTGTAATTCCAAAATGTCAAAAGAAGATGAGTTTAACCCATTTTGTACTTAACTAAAATGATTTCAACAAGTTATGGAAGGTTCATCTCTTCACTTCTGTTACTTCCAAGTTTTACCATGAATAATCTTTGGCTACAAACAGTTGTGATCATGTTAAGCACATGTTTCAAACAGCTGGTTAAGACATGATAAATGAAACATATATACAGCTAATACATACAAGGAGCTTCTAACAATCTTTGTTGCCCTGTACTATATTGATCAGGTACGTATTGCTCCTTGGTGAATGGATGACAAAGATCTTTTCTCCTTTTGGTTTCTGTTCTATGATCGTCAAACTGGTGGCCACTTTGATTTGCTCAAGTATGGTTAGAAATGGTATTCATTTCATCATGTAAAATTTACACAAACTAATCTGTGAAATTGTCGTCAGGGTCACAGATAGTCTAATGGGCAGAATGCAGACCGGAATATTTAGGTAAAATAGAGGGAACCAGAACCTTTTTTGTTTTGTTTTTTGTCTTCTTTTGGGAGCCTGGATAACCTCTCTCCATAATATGGCATTTCCATAGGTAACTCGTACAGGCTGTCGATAATGTCTCACTAAATCTTGATCATTTAGCGTGTAGATTAAATTTTAGCTTCTGTATCTGAAGGAAGTTTTCTGTTTGAAGGGATTTGCTTAGTATGCGTTTAAGAGAATAATGATCTTGCTAATAACCCGACAAGTGTAATGCACCATGAAGATGACTCTATTGAGCACATTTATATTGCTGTAGATTTTCAAATATTAGGAGTATGTGAGTATCTGTTATTGACATCTTTTAGATCATTAATGCAAGTCATCCAGAAATGTCTCTTACATGGTGCAGGAAGTACATTGACTGCAGGCTGTCGTTCTCCTGGCCTCAGGTATCATGTGTTTCATAGTCCGCTATCAGAGGTAGCAAAGTTGTGTTTGCAAGCTTCAAAGACTCCGAATGATGGGCAGGGTGTTCTTTGTAAATGTGATATGATAAATAGTGGTAGCTTCTGAATTTTCTAGAGGACAAAGGGCATGTTAAGGAGTGACATTTAAGTTAAGAACCGGACGTGGAATAGCTAGGAATACAAATGCCAGGGACCATATTCAGGATTGGTTTCTCATCACTCTTATTCCTATTAGATTCTATCAATTATATCATCAACTTACCTCAATCTGAAACTAGCTGCTCCCACTAGATTCTATTGCTATAAAAGTTGAACAATATATGCATGCATAAATAGTTTCGGTGAGTCTTTTGGTGTGACTTTAATGCCATTCCATTCTCAAATGCAATCATTTATATCTTTTGTTGGACATTTCTTGTCTTTTCCCTGGCAGTATGTTAAATCTTGCTAAACTTCATTTATAACAATTGAACCTTTTTTTTGGAAAATTCTTTAGAGTCCAAGACTGAAGTGCTAGACATGCATTTTTCTTCAATGTGGTATGCTTACTAAAGGAGTCCAAGTATGTTAGTACCACTATATATTGTAAACTGCTGATATAATTCAGTAGGCTGTCATTTGATTATAAGACCAGCTGCTCAGTCTGTACTACCTTAGATGTCATTTTAGTTTTCTTACTGATTGGTATTAGAATATTGCAGAAACAAAAATTATATATGAGGTTTCTACTCTACTAAAATGAAAACACGTGTGAATGTGAAAACACCGTAAACTGATACAAAGCAGGTCTCTCAGATTCTATTGATGGTTTAACCAATCCTGGATCACAAATTCAGGTACCTGAAAATTTTGCTACTTCAAGTGAAAAGGCATCACGGGCTGGAAACAGCTCTCTTCCATAAAACAGGATATTTGGTGGCTTCTATTTGTTCAGTTGTATTTGTGTGTATCAAAGTTGCTTTTCAAGGACCCAAAAGTATTTATAAGGGGGAAAAGTCCAGAACCTTATGGCTACTCGAAGCATCAAAGCAACAGCTTATACTTGATATTATAATTATTCTGCTGCAGAGCTGGTACCTATGTTGTATGTTTATGACATTAATAGTGAGATCCTCGTAAGTCGTATTGGTCACTTCCTTGAACCCGGAAGGCAATACTCATGCATTGTAGAAAGAACATTTCCTGATGACTATAGAGGAACCTCTGATGAGTATCATCAGAAGAACAAGTGAATAAGAATTATCAAGATGCATACATTTAGTATTTAATTATAGATCTTTGAGGTTATATTAGAGGAGTTGATGCTACAGAAGTATGGGATGGCCCAAGGAAAATGGCCTATTTCAACAAATTGTGTAAAGTTGAAAATTTATTTCTGTCAGTCTGCTCTTATCACTTCTGTAACTATTTAGCTAAATGGTTATAGTTGCTAAGTTATCCTTTTAACCAGAGGCGGACCCAGGATTCGAGCACGACGGGGGCACCATTGTATGTTAATTACTAGCGATAAAATTTGACGGGGAACTCTTTGAGAACTCAATGATTATGATGACTTATCATCCAAGTATAAATAAACAAAAGTTCTAAAGAAATAGAAATCATCGAACAAAGAGAGAGATTTATTCGCAAAATAGGTGCTACGGAAAAGGAAGGCATTTGATTTAAGATTGTTTAAAACTTTAAAATTTCTAGCTTTTTCTCAGCTAAAAAAGGGGTCTATGATCAAAAAGGTGTTCAAACTTCAAAAATTATACTAAACAAATCTAGATTAAGGGTGTGCTAATAGTTAAAAGAACTGAAGAAAAGTCTCAAACTCTTAATAATTAGTTGTCATTGCTGAGCCAGAGTTGACGGATATCCGCTACTTTGTCAAAGTAATTTTTGAAGAAAGTTGTGGCAGAAGGATTTGTATTTTTCTACTTCTGAAGCGCGATAAGTTACGACTTGTGACTTTTAATTTTAGGAGAGGAATTTGAAAAAGAAAAAAAGTTAAGTAAGTTGACTATTATGTGTGTGAATTAGGGTAGAAACTTAAGTGCCCCACAAAACCGCTCCTCTAGTTCGCCTCTTTAAGACTAGGGGCACACGAAAAATGTTTAAGGGGTCACAAATGTATGCAGAGAGATATATAAGAGATATATATACATAGTTTTTGCCGAGGCTAACGGGGTCTCGTGACCCCTCAAGCCTCAACGTAGGTCCGCCTCCGCTTTTAACTGCTTTCTTTTTGTGTCAACTTTCTGAAGAAGTACACGAGGAGTTCTTCTTTTCAGGGTGAGATGATTATCTTATACTTCCATCATTGTAAATGACAATTCTTTGATATGATCCTCTAATGGTAATAATTGGAAGAATTAATTCTTTCGTTAAGTACCTTCTTAACTAAATCTATCGAGGATAGATTCTTCTGTTATGCCATAACCTAAACGTTCTCTTGTTGTTGGAAAGAGCTTGCTGATGTGGGAGGAAATTTGGCATTGCATAAAACGTATGTATGCATGAATCTGATTTCGATTGTGGAATGTTTGTCACTCATCTGATGTAGCTCCATATAATGTAGCGCGGAATGGTCGTGTAGGCTACCATGCCCCACACTACACGCCGACTTGCCTGCTAGGCACCATTGGCCCACTAACAACAGTAGCCTTGAAGTTCCTTGCCCACTCAATTAAACCCAACCCAGTCCCGCTCAAATCCCAGCCGTTGATCATTTCATAAACGACCCCTCACTTTCCATATTAGATGCAATAATTTGTCAATATTCTTGCGGTACAATGAAATCAGAAAACCGAAGCTTTTTCACATTTACTTTCGAACTTGTTGATATAGTTTTTCTTCATTTTTATTTTTACATTGGCCCACTAACAACAGTAGCCTTGAAGTTCCTTGCCCACTCAATTAAACCCAACCCAATCCCGCTCAAATCCCAACCGTTGATCATTTCATAAACGACCCCTCACTTTCCATATTAGATGCAATAATTTGTCAATATTCTTGCGGTACAATGAAATCAGAAAACCGAAGCTTTTTCACATTTACTTTCGAATTTGTTGATATAGTTTTTCTTCATTTTTATTTTTACTTTCTAAGCCAATAGGAACAGTGTGTCTCAAATCAAATGGTAATTAGGCTGAAATCGTAACTATCACTTGGGACATTTGTGGATTTTCCTCAATGTCATATCCGTTATGTTTTCCATTTTCTGAAAGTTAATTTTTAATGTTGTTGATTTCTAATTTGTTCATTATGAAATTGAATGATAAACCAAAATGATCTGGAAGGTTTGCATGATTATTGAGAACAGTAATATTCGTTTTTTTTTTTTTTTCTCTGGAGTTCAGAACTCTCGGTGCTAGAGTCTTGACATCCTATATCCTTGAAAGTAACCTTGAGGCTCTTAGGCTAGAGAGACCATATAGGTGTGTTTTTATAACTCACTTTAGGAGTAGGTAAGTGGTAACCTAGGAGGCTTTGTGAAAGTCCATGAAAAAGGAAATGATCAGCTTTAGAGGCTATTTCATAGACCATGTATCTATTGGAGTCCGGAACCGAAATGTTGTCTTTTTGGACTCAAAATACTTTTTTAGGTGGGAAAATTTTATTACCAAAATATGTAAAACGCGGTTCAACGGCCGTTTGGGACGTTAAGGTAAAACGCGGTTTATTACTGCGTTTTATATAAAACGCTTTAATGAACTGCGCTTTACCTGGAAGCTGGTAATACGGCTATATAAAGCGCGGTTTGTTAGATCTAATTTTAATGATGAAAATAATATATTTGCTTTTTGTGTAGGAGCTCTTGGATCGGCGAAATCAATTAGCAATGATCAAGAAACGTATGGATTGAGATTACAAGATTGAAGGAATATAGGCGCGATTAAAGGAAGAAGAAATCAATAGTGAAGATACTGACGAAATCAAGGGACGCGACTAAAGGAAGAAGAGATCACAAAAGATACAGATGAGATCAATTATAGCTAAACTCAAGGAATCAGATAAATCAAGATTCGCTGAATATTCAATCGAGTAGCTAAACTCAAGGAATCATCTAAATCAAGATCTCGCTGAATATTCAATCAAGTGTCTAATAGAGGATCAAGATTCCAAGTTCAACAGAGCCGTTACAGAACAACTTTATTCTTGGAAAGAATCAATCTCTTTCCAAGGATCAAATCTCTTGGGTTGGCAAATCTTTTCAGAATTCAAGCCTCTCTCTCAAAGTATTTAAACCTGTAATCGCACCTTAGCTAGACATACTTTGATCGAACCAAACACCCTCTCTTTGTTCTACTGCAAACAAACATTGTAGTTCTCTAAGACCTGCTGTGTAACAAGTTAGAGAAGAAAGAAAGAACAACACTGGTGAGGCATTGTATCAAAAGAGACGAGTGATATAGGAACTGAGCTATCACGTCATTTCCATTGTACCCGAAGAAACTCATTCACTAAAGAGAACTCCCTTGCAACCTAAGGGGACTGGACTATGATTCACATTGAATCCGAACCAGTATAAAAATGCTGGTGTCTTTAATTCCTGCATTTACTTTCAGCATATTATATTCGATTATTACAACTGTTAGTTTATTGCATCTAGTCGACTAATTAAAAACCAGTCAACTAGCAGAGATTAAGTTTAAAAATATACAATTCACCCCCCCCCCCTGTACTTTCAATTGGTATCAGAGCAAGGCTCACATTTTTCTTTTGCTTAACAGCTTGTGAGAAAAGATGCTCTCTTCCAGGAAGGAACTTCACAAGTTAGGCCACCATACTTCAATAGACAACATTTCTCTCACTGGAAAGTGCGTATGGAGATCTATGCCAAGGCTTATGATGTTAAAGTTTGGAGAGTCATCAAAAAGGGGAACTATCCCCTGCCAGCTGCTGCTCAACCACTTGCTGATCCTGAGGATATAGATTCATATACAAAAGAGCAAATGGAAGTGGTACAAGTCAACAATAAAGCGAGAAACCTGCATTACAATGCCATAAGTGGTGAAGAATATGAGAAAATCTCTAGCTGTGACACAGCCAAAGAAATGTGGGACAAGCTTGAGGTTACATATGAAGGAACCAGCAAAGTAAAGGAAACACATATCAACATGTTGGTTCATGATTACGAACTCTTTTCAATGAAAGAAGGAGAGTCTATTGAAGAGATGTTTGCCAGATTCAGCAAAATAATTAGCGATCTAAAAGCATTTGGCAAACCATATACGAGTGGTGATCAAGTCAGAAAAATTCTCAGAAGTCTACCAACCACACGACAGACCATAGTGGTCACACTTTAATCTCAGGATCTAAACAAGTTATCCTATGATGAAATACGAGGAGAACTCATAGCCTTTGAAAAGACACATCTC